TATTTTTTGGTGCTGTTATAAATGATATTTTTAAATGTTAAATTCTAATTGTCCATTGCTGGTACTATATACAAATGTAAATAATTTTTGTATATTAACTTTGTATCTATAAATTTTCTGTACACACTTTTTATTTCCAAGATTTGTTTATTTTCATACTTTAGGGTTGTCTAACTAGACATTCATGACATCTGTTGAAAATATTAATAAAATTTATCAAGCTGTAGTCAGGCTAAGAGAGAAATTACCAATATCAGATATAAAATAGTTCATTGGCATTAAAGAGGCAGCATAGGAATACCACAGATAACTTTACTCCCACAAATTTGATAGAAAAAATAAGCCACTTCTTGGAAATACACAAATTACCAAAACTCACAAAGGAGAAATAAATAAATTGAATAGCCCACATCTATTAAATTAATTGTATCAGTAATAAATAGCCCTACAAAATAAAAAACAAAAATAAAGCCAGATGGTTTCACTTGTGAATTCTACAAAAATGTAAGAAAGATATAATACCTAATCTCTACAAATCTCTTAAAAGAAATAGAAACAGAGAGAATATTTCATAACTCATTCTATGAAGCCAGTAGTTAATACCAAAGCAGATAAAGACATTAAAAGAAAGTAAAAACACAAACCAATAGGAGCAAAGATATTATATCTACTGGGACCGTAGAGAAAACACGTAGAGATAAAAGTTGTAAATATTCTTGGTACATAGGATACATTGTGTGCAAATGTCTACATAGTTTTTCTACATCAAAGAAAAGCAGCCATGGAAGGACGACCACAGTCTCTTCCTTTACTGGCACCTTATTTCCTCTCAGCAATGACAATGGCATTTCGTGGGCATATCTTGTAGTCTGTGGTTGACCTAAAAACTTATCATATATATCCTGTGCTTTCCTCATGTGCTTAAAATTTTTCATGATAAAATAATAGTTTAGACCAACATGCTTGTAAATAGACAGGAAGCAGCAAACTGACTGCTTGAGAGCTGGGTGTATTATCAGAAGAACTGATACAGAAAAGAGAAGGTTTGGGATTGAAGGAGATCTTTTAACAGAATGCTTACTTGAAGAGATAATTCTCCAAGGGGCTGGAGGGGAGTAGGGGCAAATAGAGGGTAGAATATGGCAAATAAGTGAAGAAAAAGGTAGTTGCCTAAAAAAAAAAAAGAAAGAAAGAAACGATATCACTATTATTGCAATAGAATTTGTAATAATTGAAAGAGCAGACTAAAAAGTCCAGGTTGAACTCAAGATCATGTAGTAACTATGAATTTTTATGTCCTTGTACTTACAGTATGAGCATTGGAGTTACCTGTGTAAGTAGC